CACCCTAGGCCTCTTGGTTATTCAGAAGAAGTTGCTTAAAGATTTTAATGTATTTGACCCCTGTGACCTTGAAAATAGATGAAGGTCATTTATTTGAACAAACTTGGAAGCCCTTCATCCCAGCATGCTTCTGGCAAAATATCATCACCCCAGGCCTTTTGGTTAATGAGAAGAAGTTGTTTAAAGTAAAAAGTTGACGCCGGACGGACGACGGATGACGGACGACGGACGGACGACGGACGCCGCACCATGCCATAAGCTCACTTGGCCCTTCGGGCCAGGTGAGCTTATAATGATCTAACCCATCCAGGCTGTGTTTAGGGGTACCATTGAATTTAATTAATACTTTGCATAAAAACAAGAGGCCCAATGGGCCTGCATCGCTCACCTGGTATTAATCTCACACTAGTAATCTTAAAAGTGGACTAAAATACAGCTACAGGCAAAATATCAGTGTTTCATTCATAAGAACCTATTAAAAGATCTAAACATATGACACCTGTGACGTTGAATGTCAAACAAGGACATTATAATATTAGGTTGAACAGAGTTTATAGTCTTCCAACCCAGCATGCTTCTGGAAAAATATCATTACCCTGGACCTTTTGGTTATACAGAACAAATCATTTAAAGATTTAAACATATATTGACCACTGTGACCTTGAATATGGGCGAAGGTCATTCACTTGGAAGTCCTTCATCCCAGCATGTTAATGGCCAAATATCATCACCCTTGGCGTTTTACCAAGTCATTCAATGGTTTTAAACATATTTGACCCCTGTGACCTTAAAATATATATGTCAAGGTCATTCATTTGAACTTAGTAGTCCTTCATCCCAGCATGTTACTGGTATTATCTTAGGCATCTTGGTTATTCAGAAGAAGTTGTTTAAAGGTTTAGAACATATTTGATCCTGTGACCTTAAAAAAAGAAGAAAAAAAGGTCATTCATTTGAAAAAACTTTATAGCCCTTCATCCCAGCATGCTACTAGCCAAGTATCATCACCCTAGGCCTATTGGTTATTCAGAATAAGTTGTTTAAATGTTTTAAACATATTTGCCCTCTGTGACCTTGAATATAAGTCAAGGTCATTTATTTGAACAAACTTGGTAGCCCTTCATCCCAGCATATTAGTGCCCAAATATCATCACCCCAGGCCTCTCAGTTTTTCAGAAAAAGTTGTGCAAAGGTTTTAAACATATTTGACCCCTGTGACCTTGAAAGTGAGTCAAGGTCATTAATTTGAACAAACATGGTAGCCCTTCATCCCAGCATGTTACTGGCCAACTATCATCACCCTAGACCTCTTGGTTATTCAGAAGAAATTGTTTAATTGTTTTTATAATATTTGACCCCTGCGACCTTGAATATAAGTCAAGGTCATTTATTTGAAAAATCCTGGCAGCCCTTCATCCTAGCATGTTACTGGCAAAATATTATCACCCAAGGCCTCTAGGTTTTTCAGAAGAAGTTGTTTAAATGTTTTTAAGATATTTGACCCCTGTGACCTTGGATATAAGTCAAGGTCATTTATTTGTACAAACTTGGTAGCCCTTCATCCCAGCATGTTACTGGCCAAATATCATCACCCTAGTCCTCTCGGTTATTCAGAAGAAGTTGTTTAAAAGATTTTAACATATTTGACCCCTGTGACCTTGAAAATTGATGAAGGTCATTTATTTGAACAAATTTGGTAGCCCTTCATCCAAGCATGCTTCTGTCCAAATATCATCACCCTAGGCCTTTTGGTTACTGAGAAGAAGTTGTTTAAAGTAAAAAGTTGACGCCAGACGGACGACGGACGCCGCACCATGCCATAAGCTCACTTGGCCCTTCAGGTGAGCTAAAAAAAAAAAGAAGAACTAAACCATTGAATCATATATTTTGGACTTTCTGGGTCAGGAAGATTATATCCCTTCAAAATCATATTGGTCCTAGTGGTGTTTCATTTGGGCAGTCTAAGCATACACAACACAACAGGAATTAAACTTTTTGTTCTGACCGGTTTGTACATGGGTCACAATCAACTTAAAGGCTCTGTAGCATCAGAAGCCATCACTGACCAGGGAAACATTGTCACAGGCATCTCGTAGTGTCTGAAACATTGTTCTCTTTGTCATATTGGTGGTGTCCTGGTTGTTGACTTTCATCAGGACATCATTCACCCTACAGAATACAAACAAGTTACAATTACTACACAGGACAATGTTCACTCTACAGAATACAAACAAGGTACCATTACTACACAGGACATCATTCACCCTACAGAATACAAACAAGTTACAATTACTACACAGGACAATGTTCACCCTACAGAATACAAACAAGTTACAATTACTACATAGGACAATGTTCACCCTACAGAATACAAACAAGTACCATTACTACACAGGACAATGTTCACCCTACAGAATACAAACAAGTTACAATTACTACACAGGACAATGTTCACCCTACAGAATACAAACAAGTTACAATTACTACATAGGACAATGTTCACCCTACAGAATACAAACAAGTACCATTACTACACAGGACAATGTTCACCCTACAGAATACAAACAAGTTACAATTACTACACAGGACAATGTTCACCCTACAGAATACAAACAAGTTACAATTACTACATAGGACAATGTTCACCCTACAGAATACAAACAAGTACCATTACTACACAGGACAATGTTCACCCTACAGAATACAAACAAGTTACAATTACTACACAGGACAATGTTCACCCTACAGAATACAAACAAGTTACAATTACTACATAGGACAATGTTCACCCTACAGAATACAAACAAGTACCATTACTACACAGGACAATGTTCACCCTACAGAATACAAACAAGTTACAATTACTACACAGGACAATGTTCACCCTACAGAATACAAACAAGTTACAATTACTACATAGGACAATGTTCACCCTACAGAATACAAACAAGTACCATTACTACACAGGACAATGTTCACCCTACAGAATACAAACAAGTTACAATTACTACACAGGACAATGTTCACCCTACAGAATACAAACAAGTTACAATTACTACATAGGACAATGTTCACCCTACAGAATACAAACAAGTACCATTACTACACAGGACAATGTTCACCCTACAGAATACAAACAAGTTACAATTACTACACAGGACAATGTTCACCCTACAGAATACAAACAAGTTACAATTACTACACAGGACAATGTTCACCCTACAGAATACAAACAAGTTACAATTACTACACAGGACAATGTTCACCCTACAGAATACAAACAAGTTACAATTACTACATAGGACAATGTTCACCCTACAGAATACAAACAAGTACCATTACTACACAGGACAATGTTCACCCTACAGAATACAAACAAGTTACAATTACTACACAGGACAATGTTCACCCTACAGAATACAAACAAGTTACAATTACTACACAGGACAATGTTCACCCTACAGAATACAAACAAGTTACAATTACTACATAGGACAATGTTCACCCTACAGAATACAAACAAGTTACAATTACTACATAGGACAATGTTCACCCTACAGAATACAAACAAGTTACAATTACTACACAGGACAATGTTCACACTACAGAATACAAACAAGGAACCATTACTACACAGGACAATGTTCACCCTACAGAATACAAACAAGTTACAATTACTACACAGGACAATGTTCACCCTACAGAATACAAACAAGTTACAATTACTACACAGGACAATGTTCACCCTACAGAATACAAACAAGTTACAATTACTACACAGGACAATGTTCACCCTACAGAATACAAACAAGTTACAATTACTACACAGGACAATGTTCACCCTACAGAATACAAACAAGTTACAATTACTACACAGGACAATGTTCACCCTACAGAATACAAACAAGTTACAATTACTACATAGGACAATGTTCACCCTACAGAATACAAACAAGTTACAATTACTACACAGGACAATGTTCACCCTACAGAATACAAACAAGTTACAATTACTACACAGGACAATGTTCACCCTACAGAATACAAACAAGTTACAATTACTACACAGGACAATGTTCACCCTACAGAATACAAACAAGTTACAATTACTACACAGGACAATGTTCACCCTACAGAATACAAACAAGTTACAATTACTACACAGGACAATGTTCACCCTACAGAATACAAACAAGTTACAATTACTACACAGGACAATGTTCACCCTACAGAATACAAACAAGTTACAATTACTACACAGGACAATGTTCACCCTACAGAATACAAACAAGTTACAATTACTACACAGGACAATGTTCACCCTACAGAATACAAACAAGTTACAATTACTACACAGGACAATGTTCACCCTACAGAATACAAACAAGTTACAATTACTACACAGGACAATGTTCACCCTACAGAATACAAACAAGGTACAATTACTACACAGGACAATGTTCACCCTACAGAATACAAACAAGTTACAATTACTACACAGGACAATGTTCACCCTACAGAATACAAACAAGTTACAATTACTACACAGGACAATGTTCACCCTACAGAATACAAACAAGTTACAATTACTACACAGGACAATGTTCACCCTACAGAATACAAACAAGTTACAATTACTACACAGGACAATGTTCACCCTACAGAATACAAACAAGTTACAATTACTACACAGGACAATGTTCACCCTACAGAATACAAACAAGTTACAATTACTACACAGGACAATGTTCACCCTACAGAATACAAACAAGGTACCATTACTACACAGGACAATGTTCCCCCTACAGAATACAAACAAGTACCATTAATACATAGGACAATGTTCGCCCTACAGAATACAGACAAGGTACCATTACTACACAGGACAATGTTCAACCTACAGAATACAAACAAGGTACCATTACTACACAGGACAATGTTCACGCTACAGAATACAAACAAGGTACCATTACTACACAAGACAATGTTCACCCTACATAATACAAACAAGGTACCATTACTACACAGGACAATGTTCAACCTACAGAATACAAACAAGGTACCATTACTACATAGGACAATGTTCACCCTAAAGATTACAAACAATTTCCCATATTTGTAGATTTAATCACGAATTAAAAAAAAAAAATGTTTTTCATGGTAAAAAGCACTATGTTAAAAATTAATGCACATTTTTGTAATTATCGTTTTCAAGTTTGGAATTACCAGGCACAGATGTACACAATAAGGATAATGTTCAGCTTACTTGAGTTTGCCATCGACCACACTGCCCTTGCTGATGTGGCTGATGAAGATGGAGTTGTCATTGGTGAGTTGCGGGTCATCTTTCCCACCGACAATGTCAAAGCCCAAGTTGTCAGGGTTAAAACGGCCCTTCAATAATGAATGTCATTATTACTAATACAGATACAGTACAAGAGGCCCAATGGGCCTGCATCGCTCACCTGGTATACATCTCACACTTGTAACCTTAAAAGTGATCTTAAATAAAGCTGAAGGCAAAATATCAGTATTTATGATTATAGGTCATTCATTAATGACAGGAATATTTTTGCCTTGTTTTACCCGGCAAATTTACGTAATGTTTATTTTTGTTGATGAAGGTATAATTATATAACATAAAAGGGTGCGAGAAAAAGTGTGATTGACGCAAAATGTACAAATTTGTCATACATGATATGTTTTATATAAGAACAAACATACACCGTCAACTTGTCGAGTGTTATTGTACATGTGTACTTATGTATTTCATACCACGTTAACGTTGTATACAGGAAGTGTAACTTGCACGTGATGGTAAATGAACTTAAAACAAGGTTATGCTATTCAAGTAACCCTAATCAACCATGGTACATTATATACTTATTAGTAAAATGTAGTATATCTTAGATTACTCTTAAAATATCCAAACATCAATGGAAGATATGTAATTTAATATTACACTTAGTAAATGTATATAAGTGGATATGTGTGAACAGCTTGGACAAGGTTAATTGAATGCACCTTAATCACACCATATGATATATCATATATTAGTTAAATGTATTACTTCTTAGAATATTTCAAAATGTCCAAATGTAAATGGAAGATAGGATATAGTCTCATATTGAATAGTTTAATATTGTACTTAGTTATAAATACGATGCATTAATTTAAATGTACATTCGAGTACATGTGTATACAGTTTAGACAAGGTTAATAGAGCGCACCTTGCAATCACTGTCACACAGAAGCTTAATCTTGTTAAATATATAATATGGCGACGTGAGGTTGTGGTTGAGTGAACGAAACGTATCATAGTAGAAAGGTGGGTGTTAGTTCCATTATATCTCAAAATTATATTTTCTATATGTGTTTATATGTTTTATGTATGTACGACCCCATTCCTGGTGTTCTCCCATGTTGCAAACCAACGACTATTGTGGTTTTAAAACACACATGGACGGTGTAACAATACTATCTGCCAATTGCCAGGGTCTTGGTGATATAGTGAAACAAAAAGACGTATTTGCATACTTGAGAAATAAAAATTATAATATATTTTGTCTTCAGGATACACATTTTACAGCAGAAAAGGAAAATTTAATACGGGCTAATTGGGGTCTTGATTGCTTCTTTAATTCCTACAATTCAAACTCTAGAGGGGTTGCCATTCTTTTTAATAATAACTTTGAATATAAGATTTTAAACACTATAAAAGATGACAATGGGAATATTTAAGCTTTTAACATCCAAATAGAAGGTGAAAAACTTACACTTAAAACTGTATATGGTCCTAACAGTGACAGACCAGATTTTTATGAAACAGTAGAAAATATTTCAACAGAGTTGGGAAATTTTCAGTTTGTTATATGTGGGGATTTAAATTTAGTTATTGATCCGAAATTAGACTGTGATAATTATCGGCAAATAAATAACCCCAAGGCCAGAGATAAAGTTTTAGGACTTAAACAAGAATTAGGTATGATAGATACTTTTAGAGAATTAAACCAGGATACAAGAAGATACACTTGGCGTAGAAGAAATCCATGTAAACAGGCAAGATTAGACTACATTTTTATATCCGATGGACTGCTCCCAAGTTTAACTGCTTCGTCTATTGAGCCAGGATATCGCTCAGACCATTCCATGTCAGTTATAAGTTTAAGCTTCACCAAATTTCAAAAGGGGAGGGGGTATGGAAATGCAATAATTCTTTACTTCAAGATTCAGAATATTTAAATGCCATTAGATCTCTAATTGTGAACATTGAAAAACAGTACGCAGTACCAATTTACATTATGGACAATATTGAAGGTGTTTCTTTGGAAGACTTGATGTTTGTAATTAATGATCAACTGTTTTTGGAAACTTTACTGTTAGAAATCAGAAGTAAGCCTATTTCATACTCATGCTATAAAAAAAAGAAACAGGACTAGAATCTAGAAACTTCACCAGTAAAATTATTCCAAAGACAGAAAAAGATGATGGTATAGTGATTTTAGAACAAACAAAAATTCTAAATGAAACAAAACTTTTTTATGAAAATTTGTACAAAAGAAATACTGCTATACAGGATGTAAACTTAGAGGACTTGTTTAATCCATATGATATACCTAAATTATCTCCCCTGGAATCATTATCATTAGAAGGACAAATAACTATATCTGAAATGGCAAAAACACTAATGAAAATGAAGGATAATAAAAGTCCTGGTTCTGACGGCTTCTGTGTTGAATTTTTTGAAGCATTTTGGAAACAACTTTGGCATTTCATTGTCAGGTCAATCAATTTTGGTTATTCAGTTTCAGAACTGTCAGTTACTCAAAAACAAAGAATTATAACATGCATCCCAAAAGGCGACAAACCCCGTAATAAACTAAAAAATTGGCGTCCCATCACACTTCTCAATACTATTTATAAGATGGCATCCGGCACGATAGCAGAAAGACTCAAAACTATAATAACTAAATTAATTAGCAACAGTCAAACTGGTTTTATTCCAGGTAGATATATTGGAGAAAATACACGTTTAATTTATGATTTAATGCATTATACTGAAGAAAATGACATACCTGGTCTTCTATTGTTAATTGATTTTGAAAAAGCTTTTGACTCTGTGTCTTGGAATTTTATTACAAAAACTTTAAATTTCTTCAATTTTGGACCATCACTTATTAACTGGATCAACCTTTTTCAAAAAAATATACGCTCTGCAGTTAACATAGGAGGGAACTTATCCATTTTTTTCACTATCGAGCGTGGATGCCGTCAGGGGGACCCTGTTTCTTCATATATTTTTATCTTATGTGCTGAAATTTTATCGATTCTGTTAAGAAATAATTCTGATATCAGCGGTATTGTTGTAAATAACAGAGAAATTCTTTTATCACAGTTTGCTGATGATACGTCTGTTATCCTTGACGGTTCAGAAAAATCTTTAAATGTAACGCTACAACAACTTAACTATTATGCCAGAATTTCAGGTCTTAAAATGAATTTCACCAAGACCCAGGTAATCTGGATAGGCAGTGAAAAATATAGTAATAATAAATATACAACAGAGCACAATCTTTTGTGGGGAAGTACACGTTTTAATTTGCTAGGCATTGAATATGATGTTGATTTACATAGAGTAGTTAAATTAAACTTTGATAAGAAACTTGTTAAACTTAAATCTCTCATAAGTTCGTGGAATAGAAGAAATCTCACTCCAATAGGTAAGATAACCATTATTAAAACATTGCTAATTTCACAATTTAATCATCTTTTTATAGCTCTTCCAAACCCACATGACTCTTATATAAAAAAAGTAAATAACATATTATACAAATTTTTGTGGTGCGGAAAAACTGATAAAGTTAAACGTGATGTTATAATTAAGTCATACGAACATGGTGGTTTGAAAATGATTCATTTAAAATCTTTCATAACAGCACTAAAGGCAACGTGGGTACGGAGGATCTATAAAGAAGATGCTAGTTGGACTTTAATTCCTGAAAACTACATGGATAAGTTCTCTTTAGCTAATTGTGGAATTCATAAATTAAAAATTACATGTGAAGAATGTAAAAATAAATTTTGGAAACACGTTTTAGAAGCATGGTATCAAACAATAGTGTCGTCCAATTTATATAGTGAAAAAATATGTGAAAATCCTTTGTGGTATAATCACAATATCCAAACAAACAATAAGACTGTTTTCTGTAAAGAGTGGTATAGAAAAGGAGTGCTTTTTATATATGATGTAATTAAAGAAGATGGTTCTTTTTATAATTTTGTAGAATTTCAACATAGATATGATATAAGGTCCAATTTTTTAACTTTTCATAGTATAATTAGTGCTATAAAACAGTTTATAAATAGTAAACAAGAAATCTTTGCTTTAGAAAAGAGTATTTGTTTACCTAATATACCTTTAAATCTTAATATTATATTAAGGAGGACTAAAGGGGCACAGGATATTTATGCTGTTTTATGCCGAAATGATACAAAACCCACGTCACAAAGGAAATGGTCTACGGTTTTTAACATTCAGGACAAATTATGGATAAAGATTTATGCATGTCCTTTTAAAACTACTGAAAGTACTAAATTAAGATGGCTTCAATACCGAATTAACCATAGAATCTTAACTACAAACACACTCCTNTTAGGCCTCTCAGTTATTCAGAAGAAGTTGTTGAAAGGTTTTTAATATATTTGACCCCTGTGACCTTGAATATAAATCAAGGCCATTTATTTGAACAAAATTTGTAGCCCTTCATCACAGCATGATACTGGCCAAATGACATCACCCTTTAGGCCTCTGAGTTATTCAGAAGAAGTTGTTGAAAGGTTCTTAATATATTTGACCCCTGTGACCTTGAAAATTGATGAAGGTCATTTATTTGAACAAACTTGGTAGCCCTTCATCAAAGCATGCTTCTGGCCAAATATCATCACCCTAGGCCTTTTGGTTACTGAGAAGAAGTTGTTTAAAGTAAATAGTTGACGCCGGACGGATGACGGATGACGGACGGACGACGGACGACGGACGCCGCACCATGCCATAAGCTCACTTGGCCCTTCTGGCCAGGTGAGCTAAAAAGCAAATAACATATTATACAAATTTTTATGGTGCGGAAAAACTGATAAAGTTAAACGTGATGTTATAATTAAGTCATACGGAACATGGTGGTTTGAAAATGATTCATTTAAGGTCTTTCATAACAGCACTAAAGGCAACGTGGGTACGGAGGATCTATAAAGAAGATGCTAGTTAGACTTTCATTCCTGAAAACTACATTGATAAGTTCTCTTTAGCTAATTGTGGAATTCATAAATTGAAAATTATATGTGATGAATGTAAAAATAAATTTTGGAAAAACGTTCTAGAAGCATGGTATCAAACAATAGTGTCGTCCAGTATATATAGTGAAAAAATATGTGAAAATCCTTTGTGGTATAATCACAATATCCAAATAAACAATAATAAGCCTGTTTTCTGTAAAGAGTGGTATAGAAAAGGAGTGCTTTTTATATATGATGTTATATTAAAGAAGATGGTTCTTTTTATAATTTTGTAGAATTTCAAAACAGATATGATATAAGGTCCAATTTTTTAACTTTTCATAGTATAATTAGTGCTATAAAACAGTTTATAAATAGTGAATAAGAAATCTT